TGACTGTGGGCTAATTAGCGTCCGGTTGCCTTTTAACCCCTTCCCTTCCGTTCAAGGCCCAGGCGGTGCGTGCGCCTCGCTGTCTCCAGATCAAAGAGTTAGCCAGGCTTTGCAAAATGACAGCGCTAAAATGGCAGTGGCGGAGACGCGGCAGCTGTTTGGCCAGAAGTCACGGGCACAAGGCTCCCTGCTTAGTTGTCCTCCCTCCTTTTCGTGCTCACTTAGGAAAGTGGCACTTGTTCGTGGGTGCCAAAAAAGAGCCAGCGACCTGCACACGAGCTACTTTACCTCCCTCTCTCAGAGGAATTCGCCTCCAGCTTCCTCTGAGTCTGGGGCGAGTGACTTTCCCAGAGACAGCTCGTGGCGAATTCCTCTCAGAAGAATACTGTATTCCTCTGCAGGAAATGAGGCCTGACTGTATATATAATTACACTGCCCCGGGCACTGGTGGCACAGGAACTGGGAAGGCGTTCTTTTCGAAAAAATGAGACGCGCGTGCAGACACATGAACGTTTCGGGGTTTCTCCTCGCTTACCCAGGGCATCTTCTGGCGAGGGGCGGAGGAGGCTCTGGCCACTGCCGGGGAGCCCGGCCGGGCAGTGGGGGAGGAGGAGGCAGCTGCTGCCTGGCAGGAGGAGGAAGACAAGGCGGGGGCGAGCAGCGGCGGCAGCAGGGGCCAGTTGTTGTTGCACAAACAAGTGGCGCAGGGGGAGGCGCAGGAGGCTGAAGCAAAGCTCGCGGCAGCACTCCGCTGGGTTGGCCAGTAGACGGGAAAGGCGGGGGCTGCTGGGAGCAGGGGGCGGGGCTTGCTGCATGAGCCCGCCGCCCCCTGGCCTCCTTACTGCAGGAGCGGTGCTCCTGCGTGCTCCTGCAGGAAATGAGGCCTGGTTGAAACCAAGAATTGAAAATGAATGGGGAGGACATGGAAAAATTAAGTGGAGGTAGAGAGAAATGAATGAAAGTGTGGAAAAGAGGGAGAGAAATTAAGGAAAAGAGAGGGAAAGGTTGTTTTCTCTTGCTGCAACACACTAACTGCCACTTTGCTTCAGTCTTGCAGAAAGCAAGTCTAGACAATAGGGGTGTGCATTCGGGTCTACCTGAACAGAACATATACCTGAAAAGTACTGTTATCAGTATTTTTCAAGTATGTTTCAGCATTCCAAATGTATCCAGGATTTTTCAGGAGAACCGGGCGGGGGGGAATCCTAAAAAAATCCTGGATAGATTCAGGAATTACCAGCAAACCCAAAACAACAGCTGAGGAGCTGGAGCAGATGGCTCCCGCTCTTGGCTGTTTTGAGACATTCTTCTGCAGTCCCTTTAAACCAGAGGTGTTTAAAGGGACTGCAGAAGACAGTCCACAAAACAGCCAAGGGGGAGCACTCTCCCGGCCAGCTCAGCTGAGGCTCTTTTGGGCTGTTCGACTGAACTGTTGAAAGAGAGCCCCAGTAGATCCTGTTTGGAGAGTTCTGCTTTGCAGACTCTGTTTAAACCGGAGTGCCCAGCAGAGCCCCAGCTGAGCCTGCGGATCAGCTGCTTTGTGGGCTCTTTTGGGCAGTCCAGTTTAAGGGGACCACCCAAAAGGCTGAGAGTGTGTGACCGGCCCAAGGTCACCTAGCAACCTTCTATGGCAGAGTGGGGATTCGAACCTGAGTCTCCTAGATTGTAGTCTGATACTCAAACCACTGTACCATGGAGAAAAGAAAACTGCACTCTTTTTAAAAGTGTGTGTTCCAGTGACGCATTCTAAATATATCAGAATAACCTTGTTCTTTCAACTTCTGTTTGCTCTTGAATATCAAATTGATCATCAGCTCTTATTTGAAGTCTGTGTTTTTCTGTGTATTGACTAAACACTGCCTTTGCACAGCTTACTGCTAGTATAGTAATAACTGTAGTAATGTCATCCACCTCTGCAGAAGAAATAGTGCTGATTCTGCTATAACGTACTGAGAACACCTTCAGAATCCATACATAACCTTAACTGATTCACTAGGATCCAGCAACGATGCAGGACATTGTCAGTCTATGTCTAAGTGTAGAAGCAGATAATTGAGGAGGGGAGTGTGAAAGTTTATATCCATTGATTAAATATAAATCAAGGAAATCAGGTAGCAGAAATGAACCCTCAGAAACTCAGCATTTCAGAAGTAATCTTATTCTTTAAACATTTTGTCACATTTTTAGCATGCACCTAAATTAGGTAATAAAGATTTATTTGTAAATATGGGTTTCGTTGCCCATAGCTTCCAAATAGAGCTGGCATCGGCATGCCCTGAGCTGGGGCAATTTCTGGGGTCCAGGACATCTGGTGGGACCCACTGTCAGTGACCCCCCCACCTCCCTGCCACCTTCCCTACCCATTCAGTTGCAAGTGCTCCACCCAAGTTCCCAGCTTCCCAGCACTGATGGGGAGGTACATGAAGGTGGTGCACAGTGGAGGCACTCCCGGTGGTCATAGCTGGAGTATCACCAGCTGCACACACCAGGCATTGCTGTCAATGAAGGAAAATGTGGTACAGGTGGCTGTAAGAACAGGCTGCAGGACAGCTTGTGAGAAGGGGAAGGATGCACAGTCTAGATGGTAGATGGAAAGGCATGGGGGGCTGGTGGTATGAACCAGGGCTATTTTGGGGCAGGAACGCACAGGAATGGAGTTCCAGCTGGCTTCAGAGTTGGCCACGCCCACTACAGCCAAAACCTCTGCATGCGTGGCTACAGAGGGAAGGCCTGGAGAGCAACCCCCCCCCCATGGGCAACTCCGAGGCGGGTGGACCGGGGGGGCCCTGGAAAGATCGAGGAGGAATTTAAATGCCTCCCCATGCCTGTCCATGGGCCAGCTTGCCCAGGCTCCCTGCACCTGCGGGGCGCCCAGGCAAGCCAAGGGAAGGCATGGGGGTGTGGCCTAACAAGATGCACTGTCAGGGATGTGGCCTAATATGCTAATTAGTTTCTGCTGTTGGGTGTGGCCCATTATGCTAATGGGATCCTGCTGAGCTTTTTCTACAAAAAAAGCCCTTGTATGAACTGTCTACCTAGGTCCTCTCAGAACCTGGAACCAGCACACCTTCTGTCAGTCTTAGATACTCTGAGAGAGGTGACTGACCCATGGTCGCTTGGTGAGCTTCATGGCTAAGTGGGGCTTCCTATCCAGGTCTCCCTGGTCCTAGCCTGCTAATCTAACCACTACAAGATTACTGGCTTTTTATGATTGTTGAGATAAGAGAATAGAAAATGGTGAAAAAGATTATTTGAAAAAGATGACAGAAATGCTTCCCAAATTAAAATCTGTTTCTTCAGAGGAAACAAAAATCTCAGTTGGCCAGAGAGAAGACTATACCATTTCAGAGAATGCGTTCTGAGAACAGGGATAGCTATAATAAACATTTCCTTCATAGTGTACTGTAGAATCTACTGCTGTGCATTTGCTGCAACATACTTTAGAATAATGAAGAAGGAACTGATGTACAATTCTCCAGAGGTGTAGCTGTGTTAGTTTATAAATCCAGATGTCCCTTAAAGACTAACAAAGTTTATTCCATCATAAGTGTTCTTGAGTCAGAGTTCACTGGAGTCTGATCTGTCCTATGAAAACATACTTTAGAATAAACATTGTTAGTTTATAAAGTGCCATAGGACTTCTGTTTTATTTTGATGTATCTCTCAATGTTTTTAAACGTATTTTAAATATATTCAAATATAATTAGCTAGTATGTTTAGTTCTAGACCTGCCTCATCCCAAAGATTTTGACTTGAAAATAGCAGTAATAATTTTAATCATGTCTTTTTCTTAAATCTTAGTGCATGAAGAAAATTAAGAAATATGGACAGCCATAAATAGTAAGTAAATTTGTATATGTAGATCTGTAGCAAATCCAGGTTCTAGCAGCCTACTTTTCACATCTTACATCTCCTCAATTACGTCGAGCTTTTATGCTCACACGATTCAATGTCCTTCCATCAGTGGTTCTCTCTGGGAGATTTGCAAATTTCCCCTATCACGAAATACTTTGCTTATGTAAAGGTAGAAAGCCGGAATCAGTAGCCCATGTTTTCCTCTATTGTGATTTCTGTGTTAAAGTGAGAGAGTTTTTAATTAGTACCCTCTTGCATAATTTCCATGGCTATTCTGATGAGAGGTTTGTTTTCCTTCTTTTGTCAGACCAGTGTCCCTATATTACCTATTCAGTAGCAAGGTATCTTTTAATTATTATGAGGATTAGGGAGCATAAGATTAAATCTTTTGACGGATGATTCCTTTTTCTGTATGTTAAAAACTGCTTTTTCTGTTGTTTATGCTTATGACCTATGCCAATAAAGGGACTGACTGACTATAGCATGTTCTTTCCCCAAACTGGCATGTGTTTCAAATACAACATATTGGCTATATAATATTACATTCAGAGCCATAAATGTGGGCAGCCTGGAAAGTTTGTGATGGTGATTTTAACAGCAAAGAGAGTGGGAAATGCTAGTCATTGTAAAACAATGTAAACTTAATTTCAAGGATTGTAAATGTGGGCATAAATATTGCATTAAATTTATCTGAATATATAATGCATACATTATTTAGATGTCCTAATATTTATCTAGTAATTTTGGTTTGTTTAAATCTTCTCCTTAATGCACAGCAGCTATTCAAGGGAACTTTATGACCGATATGCCCAAGGCCAAGAAAAGTCTGTAGTCAATAAAATGCAGCAAAAATACTGGAAAACAAAACAAACTCTTATCAAAGTCACAGGAAAGAAGGAAGATGAGCATGTGGTGGCCTCTGATGCAGATCTTGATGCAAAGCTGGAGGTATGTGTACAAACCAGGACCTTTCCTCCCCAGGTGGAAAAAGCCCTTTTGAAAGACTATCATGATACTTAACTTCAGCCGTGATCCAAAGGCTAATGGATGCACAGTATGGGTGAAACCCCATATTGTGTTTTGTAGCTTCCTGCAACCTCTGAAAAGCCACGAACCAGAGTAGGGGTACCTCTCAGAGTGGCATTTTATGGAGGTGATGGAACTGCAATAGATGGGGAAATGTGTTAACACCCCTACCCACCCACTCAGCACCATCACAGACTTTGTATCTCTGATAACTTACCTGCCAGGGTGATGAAAATAAACTGCTCTCCACAGCTTGAAGGAATATCAGGATGCATCTGTAATAACTCAGTGGGATGCACAGAATTCTGCCAGCTGTCAAGATTGTGGTCATGGATGTGTATGATCTTGGCCATTATTTTAATTAGCATGCCTGGCTGATATTTTCCCACAGTGAAAATACACTTAAAGTTTTAATGCATATTCTTCATGGATTAATGCATATTCTTCATGGTTGAGGAAAAGAGGAATTAAAAATAGCATGGCTGTGTTGTGGAATTAGCAGCCATAGCAGAAGACACATACCACAATTCCTTTGGAATGAACTGTTACTGTGTTTTGTAACCACTTGACTGCTGAGAAGTTTTTAATGTAAATCTCCTCTTTGAAGGCCTGGATAGCTTGAGCATTTGCTTCTTGACCTCAAACCAACTTTGGCATGACATTTTACCTATTTACATTCAGCCTGTGGTCTGAGTTACACCTTTTGAAAGCTGTAGCGTCACATTCCTGGCAATGAATGTCTACCAAGTTTATTGTAAACGTGGCTGAGTTTCAGTGCCAGAGGATGACTCTTGGGTTTGTTAGTCTTTGATTTGCAAAACCATAAAGTATGAGCAGTGGTACAGATTTCCTTCTGAACATAGATACTCCATCCTGGCATAGTTCTATTAGGGCTACTTCACATGCGTAGCCTTCACAATTTCTCATCCCCAGATGACTTTCAGCTAAATGAACAAACTTAACTTGGTTGAAAAAAGCAACCTTTGTGAGGATGATAAAATCAGCTTGGGTTGTTTGACCTATAGGGTTGCCAGGTCTGTCCTGGCAATCAGCAGGGAAGGGGGGGGGGACTTACCAGGAACAGGAGGGAAGCCCAAGCATCATCACTGCCAATGTGATTCTGACACGTACTGGAAGTGACATCATCATGTTGGGGTGACACTCTGGTATTTGGTCAAAAACTTTATGCTAAGCTCTACTCCCAAAAAGCCAGAGCATTGCCCAGATGTCACCAGTGCACACAAGAAGCGACGCTGTCACATTGCCAGTGATGAAGCCTGGGCCTCCCTGTTTCTCCGGGTAAATCCCCCGGCCGACCAACAGATCGGCAGTGGAGGCATGCAGCCTGCTGGCTGGTGATACCCTCCTCCACTGGGGGTTCTGGCAAACTTATTGACCTTCAATACTTAATTTTACACATATTAGGTCACCATGTTGTCCCAAATTATCATCCACTAGACATGCGTATGTGACTTGAGCTAGCCATTAGTAAAAGCTCCTGTTCTCACATTTACAATAATTAACAATTTTTCTTGAATTCTTAAAAAAACAATTCTGGAATTGTCCTAAAACCTTCAGCCACTTGTATCACTGCATTTTACATAACAGAAATCAAAACCGTAAACGAAATATCAAGCACAACTACCCACTTACAATTTTAACCAAACATTAGAGAAACCCAACCTGCTTAGCTACTAATTAAACCATGCCAGAGCAGAGGCAGATTCTAAGTATTTCAATCCAGAAACTCACTTTGATTTATTCAATGGCTCAAAGTTATCCTAAGGCTTCCAGGCAGTCAGACCCTGCCAGCTTTAGTCAGTCTGAATCTCTCCAGTTAATATCTCCAAAGTTATATTCTCGAATATTCCTTAAAGCAGACACACAAAAGAATTTTGCACTTGATCACAAAAAGGCGGTGTACTGCATCCACCCTCACAAGCCATATGTAGTTTCTTATCTCAAAAAACCAACCTTGACTTAATCTTCCACACAGCAGCTGAGCAAACAGGCCTCTCCTCAGACACATTTTGACTTTATTTTTGTTGTTTTAAAGGTGCATTCTCCCCAAATGAAGGAAAGACTCAAATGGGAAAACATCCTAATCCCCGTATAAAGTAAACTGGTACACATTAGTCCAAAAATACTCCTGAGACTGAAACACTGATCAGACTCAAATTATACATAGCTAAGATCTCAGTTGAAATTAGGATAATGAACAGAAAAGTTGAAATAAGATCATTTGTTATGCTCTGACAAAAACAAATTATCACTATTCTCACCTCCTGTTATGCTGATACTCAAGAAAATCAGAGAATGTGTCTATGACCTTGATCCGGGAAATGTGCCCCTGGGTCTGGTACACTTTAGTTTTTTGCAGAAAGGGAAGAAATAAATAAAGTGTATACACACACAATTCATGCAATTCAGCATTTGGGCATTGCAAAATGAAACAAAAAATCTGTAGCTTAAGAGAAGATTCTGGGTACTTACCATTTAGCTCATACTACCTCCCCTCCCCCAACTACAGTATTGTAAGTTTATGGCTACCACCTTAATTTCCATACTGTATGTATGTGGAGCGGTGTCTCTTCTATGACTGAACAACTCTCATACAGTAGTTAGTTTGTATTTTATATTTCATTTCAGCTTTTCCATTCAATTCAGAGGACATGTATGGATTTACTTAAAGCAATTGAACTATATCAAAAAAGGATCTGTTGTAAGTATTTTTAATTGTGGCTCTGTTTTCAGTCAGACTTAATCAGCAGTAATTGTGGAACTCCCTCACCTAGATAGCCTAGGCTAGTCCAATCTGGCCAGATCTCAGAACCTAAGCAGGGTCAGCCCTGGCTATTTTTTGGATGGGAGACCACTGAAGGATACCAGGGTTGCTACACAGAGGCAGGCAATGGCAAACCACCTCTGAATGTCTTTTGCCTTGAAAACTCTATGGGATTGTCATAAGTTGGCTGCGACTTGACAGCAAATTTTTAAAAAAGGAGAACTGCAGCTGTAATCAAAATTCCAAGTTTTTACAAAAATTATTTAGTCAGTAGGGTTGCCAAAACCCCCCCCCCCAGTGGAGGTGGGGCTTTCCCCGCTTTTGGGATCCCCAATCTGTCACTGCCCAGCTGGCCGGCAGGGGAACCTCACCGCCAAGAAGCCCCGACTGTGTCCAATGTGCCCAGTGCCCAGGGAACTCTCTAGCATTTGGGGAAAACTCTATGGTAATCATAGACTCAAGGAAGAAGACTGAAGCCCCCCCGCCGGAATGCAATAAGGACCTGGCAACCCTCTATGTCACATTTGTACTGAAATTATTTATGTCAACCCATGTTTCAAAGTTACCCTTTTTTATCTGGCCAAACACGTCTCAGAGCTAATGAAAATGTCCCAAGTGTGATATCATGTTGAAAAGAGTAGGGAAGCATAGCCAAAGTGAAGGCCACACAGGAGCAGTGTTCCCTCTAAGCTAAGTTAGTGTGAGCTAGCTCACAGTTTTTTAGCCTCCAGCTCACACATGTTTGTCTTGGCTCAGGAAGGATGGCTCCAGAGCAAACTAATTTATGCAGTAGCCAAATCGCTCACTCACAGCTTTAATGCCAGTAGCTCACAAAGTAGAATTTTTGCTCACAAGACTCCACGGCTTAGAGGGAGCATTGCACAGGAGGTGTGTGAATAGTCAGCTAACAATTTGTAGTTTTTAAAACTGAAAAACAGCCAAAAAGACTGCAATTTGGAGTAAAAGAGCAGGGAGATAAATCTTTACCTTTCTGTTCACTTAAAATTGTTCCCCTCTAAATTGCTTTCCCACCTGCAATATGGAAAGAATATTTGGGGGGGGGGTGTTGTAATTTTTTTCCTGTGAGGATAAAAATAGTGTAGTGAAGACAGTTCTAAGCTGATAAACAGAGGAAGGAGAAAGTGTTAAGCAACTTGTCTGTCCTTTACTATTCCTCCACTTAAAGCATGAGCTCCCATAGTTGTTTTAATTTGTTTTTAAAAAGTAACAAGCTTGTGGAAAACTTTTCACATGCTTCCTGTGTAATGTCTGATTTGGCCCTTACATTCCCTCCTCTGTGGCCCCTGCCACACGGCAGGGGAAAAGCCCTTTAAAGCGCGGCTTTTAAAAGCCGCGCCAACGTTGATCCGGCTCGGCGGGATCCCACGGATCCCCCGGCCGAGCCGCCTTTTCTCCCCGGCGCGATCAAACGCCGGAGAGAAAAGACGGCTCTAACCGGGAGCCGGCCGATCTGCGCATGTCGGAGCATGCGCAGTTCGGCTCCGGCCCGGGGTTGAGCCGGCGCAAGGGAGCGCCGGCGATCAGACGCCCGGGAAGAGGCGCCTCATCCGTTTGAACCACCGAGGTAGGTGGTTCAGTTTGAGGCGGTTCTTCCCGGGTTTGGGCCAGTTTGGAGGCGGAAGCAGAACGCTTCCCAGATGTTGTGGTGTGATCGCGCTGCTTTGATCCGCCTCCAAACTGTCCCGTTCCCTGGCCAAATCGCCTCGTGTGAACGGGGCCTCTGTGGCCTGGGGGCCAAAGGAAATGCTCTGCCCTTGTGTTTTTGGAAACACCCAATCAGTGCTTTCCTCTTAATTTAAAAATATCCTGTAGAATCAGATCTTCATAATAAGAGATTTCATGTGCCAATATTTATACAGAGGGAAGAGGATTAGAAAGCAAAGTGGCTGAGCTGTTTAAATCAGCATTCAGTTCAGTTTAGAGGGACTTTGAAGCAATTCCAAGGAAATGCTAGGTATTGTAGTCAGGTCACATCTACTTCTTCTGATCCCACCAAGCTAATACCTCTGTTCATGCAAGAAATAGCACATTCTCCTGTTGCCTTTTCAGCATAGAGGTCATTTTGCCGCTCTTGTTACATTACACTGGGCCCACGAAGAGATGTGTTGAAGTGAATCTGATCTTCTGTTTCCTAAGTGCAGGAGATGCATGAAGATTAACTGGAAATTGCAAGGGTGAGGGGTGGAGCGTTATTCTGTGTTTCTTGGAGGCAAGAGAATATGTTGCTCCACTTACAAAATGTGGAGTGTTGTTCTTACATATATTTGGTCATTTTTTGTGTGTATGTTTAGTTCTGTCTCAAGAAGAAAATGAATTGGGAAAATTTCTCCGAGCACAAGGTTCTCAGGATAAAACGAGAGCAGGCAAAATGATGCAAGCTACAGGAAAGGCCCTCTGCTTTTCTTCTCAACAAAGGTATGTTTGATCTGTTACTGAGATGTTGCATAAGGATTAGCCTCCTTTACCTTATCCTGCCTTGGGAAACAAACCCATATGAGGCCACAATAGTCTCTGCTTCCTTGGCTTCATCTCCCAGAAACCCATGTGAAAGGAAAAACCTCCACATTCAGAGTAGGGTTTGCCAGGTCCACCCTGACCACTGGTGGGGGATATAGGGGTAGGGTTGCCAGGTCCAGACTGGAAAACTCCTGGAGATTTGGGGATAGAGCCTGGGGAGGACAGAGACGTCAGTGGGGCACAACGGAATAGAGTCCACCCTCCAAAGTGTCCCATTTTCTCCAGGGGGACTGAGCCTGCTTGTGGGAAGGGTGGGATATAAATTGAGATAATAAAATAATAAAAATAAATCTCTGTAGTCTGGAGATGAGCTGTAGTTCTGGGGGAATCCCCAGGTCCCACCTGGAGGCTGGCATCCCTCGTTTCAGAGGCACTAATCCTCTGAATCCCAGAGCCAGGAGGCAACATCAAGGGAAGGCCTCAACCTCTGTGCCTGTTGTTGGCCATCCATAGGAACTGGTTGGCCACCGTGTGAAACCGTATGCTGGACTAGATGGACTTCTGGTCTGATCCAGCGGGGCTCTTGTTATGTTCTTATGAAGCAGCTGCTGGGAAGCTGGTCAAGATTTCTCACCCCTCCAAGACCCTCTTCGCTTTGTTCAGCTCTGATCCTCCCTGAAATCTGTCTGTTCTGTCTTTCCCCCCCTGCCTGTTTGTCCTTGGCTTCTTGTTCATTTGTAGAACAGACAGGAAAAGAAATGGTTAACTCTTCTTCCCATTCATAAGTTATCACTTTTGAGAAAGGAGCTCCTTCCCAGTTTTTAGGGCTCTTCTGACAAAGAGGAGCCAGTTTCTGGACTCTAGGGCATCAAGGAGCCCTCACCAACCAACAATTAAAAACAATGTTTTCATCTCAGCAGAGAATTCATCTGTTTCTGATCCTAGATGTCCTGTTAATCAGATCCACATCTAGAGGCTGGGATGCCAGGATGCTAACTGCACATTCTGGAGGATCAAAGCTTCATTGTTAGCATGATGAATAGCTGGGTATCATTTAGGCAAAGTTCAGGAAGGATCCTTTTCTGCTCTAGAGAAGTGGGATAGAATTAAGAGAATGACATGGAACATCTGTTCAGATTTCTCAAAGCACTACTTTAGACTAGTGCACTTCCTGGATATAGTGATTGCTGATAATGTTCATGAATGGTATCTCCAGAGTGAAGGAGCTAGTAGGTCCAGTGCCGCAATCTTTTAATGAAATGCCTAACTTTCTTGACTCTTATGTGAGCATTTTCATTTATGAAGGCTGCATTGCCAGGAACTAATAGCCTAGTATAAGAGATCTCTGCATGAAATGAGAGCAATTTACTTAGCTGTACAAAAATATTTGTGGGGGGAATAAGGGAGTTGCTTGCTTACATGCACAACTGATTTCACCTCTGAAATTCATATAAGGCCATAAGGTAGCAGCAGGCCATATTTTCTGCAAGCAGTGTTGTCCAAATCAATCCCCATGTCAGGACAGGCACATTTACACATGTAAATCCAGGGCAGTGTCCACGTTTGAGGCCTTTGTATAAGAAGTTTCCAGCCTGATGCAATAAGTCTCACAGGGAAAGATGGAAGAGGAGGAGACAAATACTTTTAACCTTATTGACCGATGCAGAATAGAAAAGGGGAAGCAAAATGGCAGCCATATAAGAAAACAGAATTGAATTATTCAGCTATAGCAATTTACTTGTGGCAATCCAATAAAAAACATTCACTGTTGCCCAGTCCTAGTGTTCTATTTCTTTAACCCAATTAAAGTAATTTTTGGCCCCAGTGGTGTTCCTCCTTCATGCCTAGTTCACAGAAAACAGCCCAGAGAGAAAAGGGAGTTGTGGGGGTTGCCCAAAAAGGGATTGCAAGATGCAGAGGGTGAATGGGGTTGGGTTTTCGGGATACAAAGAGGAGGAGTCCTTAATCATGTGAGGATGCTGTGGGGAAAGGCCAGTTGGGTATAAGGCTGGTCAGTCAAGATGTGGGGAAGGGAGACTAAGAGATGGGGAGGGTAGATAGAAAGACATGGAAGAAAGACATGGATAATCCATTCAGGAAGTGAAACAACAGGAAAGAGAAGAAGCACACTCTGTGCCTGTCTTGACAAGGGACACCACTGATTTCAGTGTCAGTAGTGATGGAAGAAGGCTTGAGAGCAGAATCAACTACAAAAATGGGGACCACAGCATGCCTTTCATATACACCTGGATTTGCGGCATGAATAGGCAAAGTAGTGCTGTAAGCCAAAACTGGTGAACTAGGGTCCATAATGGCATTTGGCCAAGACTTCAGGGTCTTGCTGCCCATTGGTGACATTTGGGTTGCACATTATTGGTGAAACTTTAGGATATGAGACACCATTACTGAAAGGGTCAGAATGCAAGTGGTCATTGGCTAATTTAAACCTGTTACAAGGGAGTACTTGTAGGTAATGGAGAAGGGAGGTGTGTCTGGTTGCAGGTTGGACAGTTGTGGCAGTTGTGCCTCTCGACTAGTTGACAGTGGCTAGCAGATTGGCTGATAGCCCTTCCTGGGCTCCCGATTGAATTTCTAGAAGAAAGCTACATACACAGTGAAGGAGATTCCGAGAGACTCAGTTATTGTCCTGCAAATCCGGGGTATTTGTCATGGCCAGGGTGTGGAGTTGTTAGAGGATCACACAAAAGAGCCTTGATTAATGTGTCTCTGGAGTTCTCAGGCAGCCAGGCTACTTCCTCTTGAAAGTGCCTGGGGAAATACATTCCTGAATTGAGAGTCCCTGCCTTGATATCAAAATATGGCTTCATCCAAGCCTCCAACTTTGCAAGGCCAAATGATCCTGGGGTACACAAAGACACGGGTCTCTGCGGGTGGGTCCAGGGGGCGACTGTAGAAACCCTTCTGCTCCTCCTTATGCAGGCACAAAACTACCTGTTCACCACCACAGTAGGATTCTTGTGAGGAAATCTGCACGTCCAGATGCTTTTGAGAAAATTTACTCACCTCCCTGTTAGGGGAAGGCTGGCTGTGCCTAGCTGCTGTTTGAAAGGCAGTGGTCAGGTGGATAAGGAAGGAAAGATTATAAGAGATGGCGGTGATGCAGTTTGAAAAACAGATTCTATGGGAGGAGTTGCTGTACCAACTTTGGATGAGATACCCTTGAAGTTGATGGATTATGGTTAGAGAAGGAGGAGCCTTAAAGAAGCCTTCTTTCAGTTAAATCTTCCTCTGAAGCTGTACCTTCCCATGATCCAGCTGATCCAGCCACACTTATCCATGCTTTTATAACCCTAAGGCTACTGCAACCCATCCTACATAGGGCTGCCTTGAAGAAAAATTGGAGGCCTCAGTCAGTACAAAGTGCAGCAGCATGCTTGTTGACTGGAGCAAGTAGATCCAATCATCTTACAGTTTTAGAACATCAGCGGTGCTTGCTGCTTTGTTTCCAGGCAGTGTTCCCTCTGAGCTGTGCATGTGAGTGGCCACTCATTAACACAGGAAGCCCCGCTCAGCAGCAATCTGGAGCTGTGCAGGGTCTTGCACTGCCCATTGTCCATTTAAAGATTACAGCAGTTATATTCTGCTCAGGATGGGAACTGCTCCACTCAGTAGGAGAGCCTTTGGCTAAGTTTCTGAGGTTTTACTCTTATTTACAATGTTGTATTTACCCTCTGGTTTATTGTTCTTGGTTGAAAACTGTTTTGAACAACAGGTAAGCTTAAATATTTAGGTGTGGGGCACAACAGTTCCAGTCTTGTTTACCTCCAGGGCAAATATCAAGATGGAGAAATTATTTCCAGGGAGTTGAGCTTGGATACATGATGGTAGCGCTGCACCATTACCACTCCCAGGTTAAAAAAAAAGTGTGATAGATATGCCCTTCAAAAGCATAGTGAAATGGGGAATTTAAAAATACTACTGCTGGAGAAATAATTTATTTTTAAAAACTGCTGCTTAGATTATAATGGGGAAGTGGCATGCTTTATCACAACCTGTTCACACAAAGCTGTCTTATACTGGATTAGAGCATTAGTCTGTTAAGGTCAGTATTTTCTGCTCTGACTGACAGCAGCTCTCCAGGGTCTCAGGTCTTCCACATCACCTGATCCTTTTTTTAACTGGAACTGCCAGGGAATGAACCTGGGACCATCTGCATGCAAAGCAAATGGTAAGGACTGGGAGTTCTATAGTAATTTCTCCAAAAATGGTTAGCTATCAAATTAAGGCACTTATTAATATAAATGATACGTGAATCAGCAAATCAGAATGGAAAGTCACCTTTATGCCACCTTATATTTGCCCTTAAGCTGGCAGTTGTTGAATTCAGCAGTTTCTGGCCAAGTTATCCATGCATTTGGAAGTCTATGTTGATGTAATTCTGTCATTTCTGGTTAAATCTGCCTTGCTCTACTTGAGTCCATTTATTTCAAGTGATGGCAGAAAGGAAGTTAGAGATTTCCAGTAACCAATGCTGTCTTTGACCACTGGGGGGAGTAAAAACACATTGGAGCAATTGCAAGCCAGAACTGCTGTTTAAATGCATTTAAATTTAAGCTTGTGAGCCAGAATTATCATTAGAAGTTTTGCTTATTTGTGATAAAGTATATAGCACATTGTCTTCCTGTTCAATATAACTGTATTTTCTTCTTATACTTGGCACTTTCTCTAGAAATGTTTACAGTGGGGACGGCACTAAAAATACGACTACCAGAAAAAAGTTTGGCATCAGCTGAATAAGTGATGGCAGTTGTGATTCTTTCATTCAGTACTGAAGAAAATAGTCCTAAATGTTTCCTTCTGAAATCTGCATAGAATCATAGAATGTTAGAGTTGGAAGGGACCTTGCAGGTCATCTAGTTCAACCCCCTGCACTCTGCTGGAGCATAGCCGAAAGATAGCCCTACAACATACCCGAAAGATGGTTGTCCAGCCTCCGCTTGAAAACGTCCAGCAAAGGAGCATCCACCACCTCCCGAGGCAGTCTGTTCCACTGCTCAACCACTCTTATAGAAAACAGATTCTTGTACAAAACAGCATTGATGGTACCATCTTATAGAAAACAGCATTGAAGGTTTCTGTCTATTCTGGTTTGTTTGGTGCCATTCCTTATATTAGCTTCCATTCCTGTGACTCTGTCTCTCTCTTTGGGTTGCTACTCACAATAAGACTTTAAATCCTTTTTGTTTGCTTTCAAAGTTATCTACACTTTCAATTTCTCTCTTTTTTCTTTGCCACAGGTTGGCATTGCGCACACCTTTGTGTAGGCTATACCAAGAAGTGGAGACATTTAGGTACCGAGCTATTTCTGATACCTGGCTGACTGTCAATCGAATGGAGCAGTGCCGGACTGAATATCGAGGAGCATTGCTGTGGATGAAAGATGTGTCTCAGGAGCTGGATCCTGATCTTTACAAACAGATGGAGAAGTTTAGGAAGGTATGAAGTTTCAGCAATTTCCTAGATGGCAATGCTTGATGACGATAATAGAGCGTGGTCTGGATTCCTCTGAGAAAAATATAATTCAGCAGGCAGCATTGAGGTAATATTAATCACAAATTGCTCTTTTCCATGTGGCAAGGTATCTGTACTTCTGGCAGAGAACATATTACCCATCCATGAAAGGTAATAGTGAGAAATTGTTTCCTAAGTAGCTGACTCAAACTAGATATGGCTTTTAAAAACCTGCATAATATTTGTTTCCCTACAAAATGCCATTTTCAGTTACAAATTAAAAGTATCAGAACAAAGTTTGAGTCCAGTGGGGCCTTAAATAAAACTTTGTTAATCTTAAAGGTGCCACTGGACCGACACAGCTACCCTACCTGATTAGAAGTATGAATTTAGAAGTATGAATTAGAAGTATCATTAGCATTTTAAAACTATTTGCATAGTGTTTATCCAGTGTGTTTGAAGTATTTTTCTTCTTCTGGACTATAGAAAATTCATGAACAATAAAGCATTTGGTTCCAAGACTAGATCTTACATCATATTTTATTAGTAGAGTAGCATTGAAAAAGTATAACTTATGCCTGTGTTTTCAATAAACAAATAAATAGAAAACAAATGAGAGAAGATAAATGTGAAACTTTGATAGACTGCTAGGTCTGGGGGAAAGAAGAATATTTTTAAAGCCTTGTGAGCCCCAAAGTACAACTAGTTGGCTGTGTGTACAATGGGGGAAGGTCAGAGGATTTGCAGCTAGAGCAATAAGGAAGCCGTCTCATGTAACTTGATGCGGCTGCTCTGTGGCTGTGCGGGCCATTGTTGAAAATGTTAAGAGGAGGCCACATGTTTCATTACAGGGGGCTCTTTTTAACTGTTGACCTTAGTAACTAGAATGACCAGCACAAAAAAAGTTTTGTAGCATTACACTGTTGGGCTGTAGAGTGTGTAGGGTTTGGTGTTTAGCTTACCTCTAGAACTGGCTACACAGCAAATGACCGGTCCAAATTTCCTGTAATTTTGAATTGGCTAACTCCAGTACAGAGACCAAATTTTGCTGGTGAATCCTTTAGCATTGGAGGGTGTCTGCATTACTTCATGGCTGAAATGTGAAAAACACAAGAACTCTTGTATGTGGTACTTGATGAGAATTAGAAGATCTATGTTCAGATTTCTGTAGTTTTGAAAAGACAAGAGGCACTACTTTTGTTCTTGTTAAGTGCAACTCTGATCTGTACCATTGTGTGGCAGTATTTTACTGAATGTTTGAATTATTGGGATTTTTTATAGGATAAGGGAGACTGCAGTCTGACTCTTTGTTCAGGAGATAATTGTACATGTAATAGGAGAACAATATCTGTAATAGCCATGCCTGCTATTAATCTTGCTGAACCTAGTTTCATAGGATTCCAGTTCTTAATGTAAGCAGAGTAACACATTACAAGAATATTATTTATAACACGAGTATTTATAACTGTTCTGTCTCCCTAATGCAACTCTTGGTTTTATTCAAAACACTTGGCTAGAAGGGAAAAAATAGCTGGCATTCTTTGTCTCTTAAGAGTAATACAGACTCTATTGTAAATGTAGACAACTGCCTGGCATGAGGTAAGATGCATCAAAGCCCATTTATTTGAGTGGATGTAAGCATGGCTAACTCTTTGGTAGAAATAGAATCAGGTGGGTAGCCACTCTCAGCATTCCACAGTTAAGGAAACATCTGCTCATCAATCTCCAATTTTGACATCTTTGTTTCCTTCACTCTGTTTTCCCTGGAATTAAACCCAACCAAATGTTAAACTAAACTTGTTATTTCAGTTTGGTCCTTGCATCTGTTAAATATCTTCATTATGCTGTATCCTAATTTGCTGCCTACCCTCTACCTATATGTATGGACTGGTAACTTCCATTTCATTGTATCTGAAGAAGTGTGCGTATGAAAGCTTATACCTTGAATAAAACTTAGTTGGTCTTAAAGGTGCCAGCGGACTCAAACTGTGTACTTTGGAAGAGAGTCCCCCCCCCCCCCCGCAGTAATTATTACAAAACCCAAAGCTAGTTCTGAACATATTGGTACAGATGAGTGTTTCATATATTTTAGGTGTATAGAAGAGAGGACGAGTTTCATAAACTGAAAAGGTAATTTGAAAGCCCACTGAGTATGCTCCATTTGAAGTTAGGAAGTCAGCACTAATGTGTTTGCAGCACCTCTGCAGTGACTTGTAAGGTGCTTTTAACATTGCTGTGTACAACTACTTTATTGCCCAGCAAGCAGTATCTCTGTTCACATGGCACTAGTATCATGGTGTTAGTTCCCATCTTGATAACCAAAACCAGCTTACAGTGCTATTGCATAAATCAAGAATCATCTCTAACATACTGTGCCACAGAATGTTGCCACACTTCAGACTTCTGTTAAATGTTGGCTGCGGTCACACGCAGCATTAGCCACGCAAGAGATACGGAAGACAGGCAGAGTTTCCAGGCGCGATCTCACCAGCACATCTGGGGAGCGTAGCGCTTCCGTGGCACAACGGAGGCTTCCTCCGAAAATGCGCAGCAAAAAACTAGTACCTCGGAGGTACTAGTTTCCGGAAACTGTGGGGCAAGGGCGGGCGTCTGATCACGTTTCCGGTGGCATCCGGCGCCCGCCCATGTCCCCTTGCGAAGAAGGGTTTTTTTCCCCCCAAGTCTCCGTGGTTGCGCACACGCACCCAACCGAGCATGCGCATTTGTAGTGTACACAAAAAAAGAAAACCAGTTCGCCGCGCCGCACGCTTCTTCGTTGCGCGCAGGCGTGTGTTGTGATCGACGCCTCTCCGTAACCACGGAAGCTCCACGGTACCTCCACAGAACCTCCACAGGAGGTTTGATCGCTTTACTGCGTGTTAGTTTGCCCCGGGGCAAATAGCCACGCTTCCCCCCCCCCTCCTGCTCCTGCCCGTGTGACCGGGGTCGTTATATGTCAACTGCAGGCTACATGATTAAGATGTTTAACTGGAGTGAGTTATCAGGAACAAACGTCTCATTTTCAGAAGTAGAGAGTGAATCTGATCGGCTACTTCTCATCAGTGTATCTAATTGTTTGGACTGTATAAAGATTATGACAGTACTGCACACAGGTATTCCAGAGGTGCTTTTTTTGGATTACAGCTAAACTGTCTTCTTGTTCTAATACATTGGATTTACTAAGCCTGCCTTGCCTTTGCTGTGCCAAACCAGAAGAAATGCTAGCCTGTCATTCCTCTTCCTCTCTCCTGACAAAAACATATAATTTCAAATATTCTGTTCTATAATTTCAAATATTTCTTGTTCTATCCACAAATCTATCAGTCTCATCTCCTCAGCTAACCTATATTTTGTTTTAGATATGAAGGGGGGGGGGGAAACTATCCTTACAACTAAAACTTTCCTGAACGATGGCTTTTATTAGAGCAGTTATTCCATGCTTATTGTCTTATTAGGCTGATGAGAACTTGGGAGCTGCCTTTCTGTATGCATATTGTACATTCTTTTTTTTTAGTGCAGGCGGCGTGGAGGGGAATCACTCGCTCTCTGTGCTTTTGTTTTCACTGATCCCTTCTAATATTTGGACTTTAATCAAGACAGATATGGTAGGCTTCCTGTTGATTGAGATTAGCTAGCAGATGGAGGTTTGTTGATCCAGCAGAGCTCCCATCAGTCAGGTATGCAGGATAGAAAGGGAAGTTTTGGTTTATTTTCTTACTGGTAAATTCACACCTCTCCCATTTCTTCTATCAGGCAAGCCATTTTGTTAGCAGAGTAATGAAATTCTTAGAGCCTGTACCACCAGAAGACGACATTTTAATTGTACATATTCCTGACTAGGGATGTGCATTCAGTTCGGACGAACCGGGAAAACACTGAATAATGCCTATTTGGCATTATTCAGGCATGCTGAAAGCCAAATCAGATTCTCTAATCTGATTTGGTTGGCTGAACAGCGATTCCCCGAATGGATACCATATATTCAGCATTCATTCGGGGAATCTTTTTGCTGGGTAGATGTTAACTTTCCCTCTGCTGCATGACTCCCCAGCCAAGGGAAGGTATTCCCTTGGCTGGGGAGTCACGCCATGGAGGTGGCAGGAGCCCCAGAAGAGCCAGTTTGGTGTAGTGGTTAAGTGCGCGGACTCTAATCTGGGAGAATCGGGTTTAATTCCCCACTCCTCCACTTCCACCTGGCTGGATGACCTTGGGCATGCCATAGTTCTGGCACAGCTGTTCGTGAAAAAGAGCAGTTTCTGTCAGAGCTCTCTCAGCCCCACCTACCACAGGGTGTCTGTTGTGGGGAGGGGAAGGGAAGGAGCTTGTAAGCTGTTCTGAGACTCCTTTGGGTAGTGAAGGGCGGGGTATAAATCCAACCTCTTCTCTTCTTCAGAAGAAGAAGAAAGGGAAAGTGTTAAGTTTAAACACCTTCCCTTGTGTTTCTTTGGCGGGTGGGCTGGGGAAGGCTCAGGGAGGCATTTAACATGCCTCCCCGCTCAGTCGAGGGTTTGGGGAATGGGCTGGGGAAGGTGCGGGGAGGCATTTAGAGATGCCTCCCCCATCTTGTCTCCTTTCTCTATGTGGCCCACTTCCGCAGGCCAGCTAGAGAAGGGAGAAAAGATGGGGAGACATTAACCCTCCCCCTGTAGTCCCATGAGGGGTGGCAGGCTCCCATCATTGAAGGCAAGGCAACTTGCCTTCCCTTTAATGAAGGTAGCGTTCCGCCTCTGCAGCGCAACTTCAGCAGGGGGGGATTTAAACTATAAGCCCCCTCAGTCTCTGGAGTCATGCCACAGAGGCAGCACGCTTCTTTCATTGAATGGAAGGCAAGTTGCCTTGCCTTCAATGATGGGAGCCTGCTGCCCCAGCAGGAAGGGGGGGGTTATTATACCCTATGGGGACTGTCCCCATAGGGTATAACTGAGACAAATAAATTCAGCAGTACCAATAATTCCCGCACCCCAGTATCTTAGAGGTACTGGAAT